GGATAAGCTCCGGCCTGGTGGGCCACTTGGTTCGTATGCAGACTTTACCTTTACCATCTCAATAATCACCTTACAAGCCCAGAATTTGTGTTTACTAATTAACAATTAGACCCGTAGCCCGCAAGGGCTACAGGTCAATAGCCCATGAGGCAAAGCCAAATGGGCTATTGACCCGTGGCCCTTGAGGGCGAAGGGTCTAATTGTTTTAGTATCACCCAACTAGTCGGACAGAAAAGGCAATAATAAAGTTAGCAAATGCAAGTTGAAGAAATATTTCTTTGGGATTAAAACAAAAGAAAGCGTCACACTCGATTGTGCCAATTTTGCTACTCAAGGACTATTGCTAATAGTCCTCTAGTAGGGTAGCCAATTAAAATGCAGAATTTGCATTAGTCCACTAGTTGGGTGATACTGATAATTATTATTTATGAATGGCTTCCATTACTTTATTATTAGTAATATATTATGGGTGTATGGCTTTCATGAACATTTCTTTAATACTAATATCATAATTTCCTCTCCAGCTCAAGTAGAGACAATGTTCTGAATGTGTGGGATCTTTCCAGTAAAAGAATTCTGAAGACTATCCCTGCTTTTGAGGTACTGTGCTTTAAATCAGTGTCACATGTGAAAACTAATTGCAAACTAACTCGTTCTATGGGCACAAATTGAAAGTTTTCTTTGCAGGCCAGTTATCAACATTTTCAATTTCTAAGAGTGCATAAAACTATTTTTCCCCTTACAACAATGACAAGGTACCTTTTGTGAAACACAATGATTAATGTATGAGAAATAACGGAAAACTGAACTTGATGTACAGTATCAAGGTTGTGGTCTAAGGAAAATTATGAGGAGCCCAAGAAATTCCTGGGTGCCCAGCACTAATGAGTTTACATGAAAAAAGAAGTTTTTCCAGTCACCCAAGAGTTAGTTACCTCTGGCACGTGGGCGCTTCTAGCGCACAACCCTGGGTATCTCTGTATTCTGCAAGTTGATGCACAGCATCTGCACTGAATTCTTAAGAGTGACAATGATTGAATGAAAGGTGTGGCTAATTAATTTGTTCAGCTACAATGTGGGAACTGAAAGGGTTTACTGAATACTGGCATGACATTTCTCAGGGTGTGGAATCAGTCATTATGTTGCCCAAGGGTACAAACTGCCCAGGATGTGATGACAAAGAAAAGGAATACTTCATTACTGCTGGAAGCAAAGGTACAGTCTAGTCTCTCCTGTAGTACGTCTCCTCTGCAGCCACTTAAACTGAAGTCTCGCAGTGCTCCCTACCTCCACGAGTCTGCTTTGCACCGACATACATTCGTTTACCACTGTTTGCCCTATTTTTTACACGAACCAATCAATGCTTAGTTATTGTATACACTGTACCAATCCCAGAGAAGTCTGTCTTCTTCGTGTTGATTATCTTAAACCCTGAAGGTCCTTTGATTGGGAGACATTTTTGGTCTGAACCTCTGCAAGGAAATGAAAGCGGGACTGTGGTTGCTTTATTTCAAGAAAGGAATGTATGTCAATTTGAAAGGGTGGGAATTGGGAGCTTTGCCCCTTGCCCCTTGCCCCTTGCCCCTCCGCCCTTCCTCTGGATGGGCTCCTAGTTCATTGCAGGGTTATCCCCGGCCTGAAATTCAGCAACACCCTTTTTTACACTTGGCTGAAAGAGGCACTGTGAAAGTGAAGTGTCATCCCCAGGAACTCAGCACAATGACTCGGCCATGGGTGTAATTGTGGTGCAATGCTTACTTGCAGGTCAGCTGAGGGTTTGGAGCATTGAAGATGGCAAATGCGTCTTTACCAAAAGTGTTATTAGCACGAGAAAAAATGAGAACAAAAACAGCAACAACGAAGGCGATGGTCAACAGATTGTTTACGCGGCTTTGTGTGAGAACCTGGGCATGATTGCTGTTGTGACATTTGATCATAACATTGTGTTTCATGAATTGGAATCCCTGAAGAGAGCTAAACAGGTATGGTCAGGATAAAGATCACGCTATAAATTAGTATCAGAGACTTTAAAAAATACGCAGTGACAACTGTAACGCGTAGGAAAATGCCTAGTTTTTTAAATGTTATGGTTTGCTTCCCAATCTCGCAGTCATTTTAATCTGTTTAGTGTATCTCACAGTAGCAACGTTTTCGAATTGACCCATTTTGCTTTTGATTTACGCCCGTCATTTGAAGCCTTTACTGTGACTTGAAATGGTTTCGTGACAAATTAGTTTCATAACTTGAAATGGTTTCGTAACATAAAATAGGTTTGTGACTTGAAATGGTTTCGTAACATAGAACAGTTTCGTGACTTGAGATGGTTTCGTGACTTCTTGACTTTCGTGACTGCTTAGTTGCCGACAGCTAAAAGTTTAGCGTTTAGTTGTCGACAACTCACGGGCATCTCACACACTACGCTTTTTAGTTGTCGATAGCATTTAGTTGTCGACAAGTAAATGTCTAGTCCGTAGAGGCCCTAAAGTTACTAACCATGTCTAATCAGTCCGTACTGTAAGTCACGGATCCTTGTCCCCCTCCCCCACCCCCACCCCCTAATGATTTTAGCAAAAGTGCGGAAAAGACTCGTCCGTAATTTCTAGTATGAACTGCAAACTCAATAGTAAGAGGTATTTATCAGCTCAACTTATGTTAATTGTGCCTACATTTAGTTTGTAGGATACAATGATGAGATTCTGGATCTATGTTTTGCTGGTAGCGATGAAACTCATCTGGCAGTGGCCACCAACAGCAGTGAATTAAGGATGTACGACTTGACCACCATGAACTGTCTGTTGTTGGAGGGACACACAGATATTGTCCTGGCTTTGGAGATCAACAGTGCCGGTGATGCTCTGGTCACTGGTTCAAAGGTAACAGTGTAAGTTGTGAATAATATTGAAAGCTAAATACCCTGAGATGTCAGTTATATACAATGTAGAGTGAGACTGAGGAAAAGTGCAGGCCTTGATGGGCNTAGCACGAGAAAAAATGAGAACAAAAACAGCAACAACGAAGGCGATGGTCAACAGATTGTTTACGCGGCTTTGTGTGAGAACCTGGGCATGATTGCTTTTGTGACATTTGATCATAACATTGTGTTTCATGAATTGGAATCCCTGAAGAGAGCTAAACAGGTAAGGTCAGGATAAAGATCGCGCTATAAATTAGTATCAGACTTTAAAAAATACACAGTGACCACTGTAACGCGTAGGACAATGCCTAGTTTTTTAAATGTTATGGTTTGCTTCCCAATCTCGCAGTCTTTTCAATCTGTTCAGTGTATCCGACAGTAGCAACGTTTTCGAATTGACCCATTTTGCGTTTGATTTAAGCCCGTCATTTGAAGCCTTTACTGTGACTTGAAATAGTTTCGTGACTTGGAATGTTTTTGGTGACTTGAAATGGTTTGGTGACTTGAAATGGTTTCGTAACATAAAATAGGTTTGTGACTTGAAATGGTTTCGTGACTTGAAATGTTTTCGTGACATAAGATAGTTTCGTGACTTCTTGACTTTCGTGACTGCTCAGTTGACCACAGCTAAAACTTTAGCGTTTAGTTGTCGACAACTCACGGGCATCTCACACACTACTCTTTTCAGTTGTCAATAACATTTAGTTGTGGACAAAAAAATAGTTGTCGACAAGTAAATGTCCGTGGAGGCCCTTACAATGTAAGTTACTAACCACGACTAATTAGTCCGTACTGTAAGTAACGGATCCTTGTCCCCCCCTCCCCTCTCACCTCCACCCCCTAATGATTTTGGCAAAAGTGCAGGAAAGACTCATCCATAATTTCTAGTTCGAAGTGCAAACTCAATAGTAAGAGGTATTTATCAGGTCAACTTATGTTAATTGTGCTTACATTTAGTTTGTAGGATACAACGATGAGATTCTGGATCTGTGTTTTGCTGGTAGCGATGAAACTCGTCTGGCAGTGGCCACCAACAGCAGTGAATTAAGGATGTACGACTTGACCACCATGAACTGTCTGTTGTTGGAGGGACACACAGATATTGTCCTGGCTTTGGAGATCAACAGTGCCGGTGATGCTCTGGTCACTGGTTCAAAGGTAACAGTGTAAGTTGTGAATAATATTGAAAGCTAAATACCCTGAGATGTCAGTTATATACAATGTAGAGTGAGACTGAGGAAAAGTGCAGGCCTTGATGGGCCGCTCGAGTCAATGCGGACCTAGTGACTGCAGGCTCAAAGGTAACAATGTACAGCGGTGCACTGTAATATTGCAGTTTTACCGTACCCAAATTCGCAAGTAACCAATCAAAAGCCATGTCTACTGTCTTGATATCGTGCGATATCAAGTCACTGACCTGATATGACTACGATATCATGGTCACNACAATAACTTCTTGGGGACAGTCAGCGAGACAACAAAAAGAGTATTGCACAGTCGGGCAACATTACACAGTATCCAGACCTTCTACATATCTGCAACTGGGTATATTTCTCTTTCTTTTACAATGGAATTAATCGATATTTCCTCCTGCCTTGCTCTCATCTTAATATGCAAACTTGCTTGGGAAATTGTTTAGCTTGCTAACTTCAAATCCCTCGCATTTTGTGAGGATGGAATCGATTAGTTTAAAAGCTTTGTCTTACATCCAATCAAAAGCTGTAAATGGGGAGTTTAAGAAAACCACGACGGCAACGGCAACCGCAACGTCGCTAAACAAAAGGTTTGATTAGCAGTACAATGGCTGTGCACGTGCGTTATAAATAGGCAATAGCCTCCATTTGGCGCTAAAATATGCTCTGATATTTGTCCGCGAACATCATCTGTTCCGAGAAACTGTGATCTATGAGAAACAGGTGACGTCCGCGAACAAATATCCGAGCATATTATTGCGCAGAATGAAGGCTATTATGTTTATTATCCGTAAAGCACTTTTCGCAACACGTGCGGTTTTGAAAATTGGGGAATATCCTCGGATATTTCCCGGTTTTGGGTGACGCGTTTAGACCGATCGCGCGCGAGCGAAAATATTTGATGGATTATAATTCTTCGTACATTTCTTTGCCGTCCTCTGCAAAACGACATCGTGAAATGACCAAATTCTGGGTTTGCTAGGTAACGTGAACCGCGACGGCTATTTTTTTAAATTTTTATTTCAAATTTTTCGCTGTGTTGTAGATTCAGCTTCGTGATAGTTTTGACAGTGAGAAACAAGCTAAATGACTCTAGAGTATCGCGAGATGCGTAGGTAAAGTCGTTTTGTAATCGAAGTTGTCCGCAGCGTCGCCGTTGTCGTTACTCTGTGCCACTCTGGTAGTATAATTATATAGTGTTATTCTTTTGTTTTATATTCAGGTCAAGCAGCAGTTTTATAGCAAGTGGAAGTCAAGATAACACAATAAAGATATGGAACGTACCAACGGCAATTGGCAACGTGCGTAAAACGCGTTTCTTTCGCTCTTGTTAACAACTGATTCATATTTTAGCGTGTTTCATCGAGTTATGATACTCGCGCAAGTTTGGAAAGCAAAAAGCAAGCTGAAGAGTTGCTCAAGACACGGTCGAGAACAACTCTAGCTTCTTGAGTGCTCTCCAAACTTCCCAATTGCATTGATCATTATTCGATGATGCACAGCTAAAAACGTGATTGAAGCAATTAGTTTTTATAACATTGCCTATGGAATTAAATTTTCTCTCGCGAAGCGAAGTTTTACGATAACTGCAGAAATTCTCGCGCGCTCATTGGCTAATGACGTCTTTTTCTCAAAAATGCCACACGGATTGAAATTATAATAACAATTAGAACTGCAATTCGCATAGAGAACAACAAGAACTTTGGCTCTCACATTCGTGCAATTTTCTGCACTACTTGTTATTATATTTGCAACCCGTGTGGTATTTTTGAGAAAATGACGTAATTTTCTCCAATTCTCAACCAAGACTTGGAACAAGGGAAATTTATGGCGGCCGTTAATTCTCGGAATTAAAGGTCCAAAAAACGTGGGTTCTATTGGTGATAATAGATTGAAATTTAGCAAGATATCTAGGAAAGACCTGTTGTGTACAAAAATGTCAAAAAAAGTGGATGTCGAGAATTTGATCACAGGGGCACTATTTTCATGTAAGAGATGTCTCTATTATATAATAGAGATGATAGATGTCCGTTTTATGGAAAGGTCCCAGAGAAGAGGTTCTATTGAATAAAGGTGCAAGAAGTTGCACGAGTTTAGTTTCACAGTCTCAAGCAAACTCTGATGCCTAGAGATTAATATGTTCAAATTTTTGAAAACTGTTTGCAGGATTCCCCAGTCAAGTTGTCCGTTAGACTCACCGAGAAGGCCCATGACAAGGTAAGTCAGCTCACTGAACACTATAACTAACTTACTGTATAAACTTGGACGTGCACTTTGAGAAAAAAGGTATCTCCCCCAGGGGTTGGGTACTATCTCTGCCCTGAGAAGTATTCCCATAGATGGACTCTATATGTGCCGCGGGATAGGTTCTCGATCCTTAAACAGGGTATCATTTTTGCCCCTGTTGACATTGTGTGCTCCCGGTGTGATCTGCAGTGCGTAAATGTCCAGCTAAACGTCGAGTATCAAATTCTATGCTTGATGCTTAAACCTCCAATGTTAAAGAAATGAAATGAAGTTGACTACTTCGCACCATTCTTAGTTTTTGTTTTTCCCTTAAATAGGGTTTCATTTTTCGGGTTTGGGTCTTAATAAATAGGGTATCACAACTATCCGAAATTTGCGGGAGTACAATTTACGGAACATTTTGAGAAGGGATCTTTTCGAAAACAACGACATTACGATAAAGGTGTGATGTCCCTGTCCGAGATTTCCTCAAACACAAATCCAATATGACCGATGATTGTTGCGTTCGATAATTTTTTCCGAAGTAGTGTGGACGGAAAACATTTGATGCGTTTTCAGAGTGAAAACACCGTTTTCAAATTTGTTTGGACGGGCGTTACACGGACTTCATTAAGTTGTTAATCAAATGTGGTAGTCCACCAAACTTCCAACAGACAGTTGACTAAAAACTATGGAATATGCATTTTAAATCTCTTACTAATTTGTAATTAATATTGATGTTTGGCTTAACGATACTGTAGGATATCAATTCCGTCACCATTTCACCAAACGACAAGCTGTTGGCTTCTGGTTCACAAGATAAAACTGCNAATATTGATGTTTGGCTTAACGATACTGTAGGATATCAATTCCGTCACCATTTCACCAAACGACAAGCTGTTGGCTTCTGGTTCACAAGATAAAACTGCCAAGGTAATTTAAAACCCTTTCTTATAAGTTGTTATTATTGTTAGAGCGGTTTCAATCGAGTGTCTTGAAACCAAAACCAAGGTAATCACTCTGCTTTAAATCACTGAAAAGTTACTTATCCTGTGGATAGCGTAACCCACCCTTTGAACAACTGGAGCCAGATGATTAGAATGTGCGAGTTTTCCTCATCGAATAGCAATAAAACGGAGCATTGATAGCGTTTCAAAGTATTAAAAGAAGATTCTGATATCGATGTTTCTTTGTAGATCTGGAATATATCCGATGGTTCACCTCTAGGAACTTTACGCGGCCATAAGAAGGGCATTTGGTGTGTACGCTTCTCACCTGTAGATCAGTGTGTGGCTACTTCCTCGGCAGATTCAACTATCAAGATATGGGCCTTGTCTGATTTGACATGTGTCAAGACATTTGAAGGTCACACCAGCTCGGTCCTGAAGATATGTTTCTTGACAAAAGGGATGCAGCTTATATCAAGGTGAGCAGGTTTTGTTTAGCCATACCGATCTTCTGTCTTTGCTAACTACTATCGTAAAGAAAAAAGGTTTGCGGTGAAAAGTGAAAAGACTCCCCTGCGAGTTGTGGTTTTACTTGAGAATTGCACATTTTAATTTTATCATGCCATAGATTTCTTCGGTGAATATAAAGAATGTAGGCCATGTAATGGTAAAATTGAACCTCGTTCCCAGGGTCTCGCTCCGGGAGGGTGGGAAGATAAGAGACCCTGGGTGCGAGGCTAGGAAAAATGTGGTCAAATTGTTAAGGAGTCATTTGCATGCAGTGCGGACCTATGACTGCCCAGTACACGTGTATTGTAACTAAAATTCCAAACATTTAGAACACGAAGCCCGCCGAAGGCTATAATAGCTAAAGACCTTTGCGTTTTTGTGGAAGCCTCGGTACTGGGCATGAAGTAATTTGTGTCTTACATTAGGCTTCTTAAACTTTATAATTTGTTTGTGTGGTCTTCATTCACACCTTCGTTTTGATTTGCAATTAGTTTTTGTCCGTCTCTGTCTCTCCTTTCCTCAGTTCATCCATTCATTTATTTCTTTAAGCCTGGTCTACACGAGAAATTTTTTTTTGACGAAAATGTTTGATCGTGTGGGTGGCACAGCAAATATTTGTCAGCAGTTCAAAGTTTGGTGCGCCAGTGATGACTTTAGACAGTAGAGATACGCAGAAAAAAGGCGGGGCTGCTTAGTCGCCCCCGAAAAATATGGCGCTTACTAACATATTTGCCACATTTTATGTGACGAGTAGTCTACACGAGTAATTTTTCGTATGTGACAGTTCTTATTTGTCACATAAAAGCTAACACGCCAGCTTTTCAGCAAATGTATTTATCACATAAAAATTGGCCAGTTTTCCTCGTCTACACGAGCAAATAAGAATCGTCAGAAAACAAATTGTGACGTAAAAATTGCTCGTGTAGACCAGACTGTATTTATAGAATCCCTCTTTCCTTCATTTAGTTTCTTTGTTTGTTTCTTCGTGTGTATCTTTGTTTGTGTAGATTGTTTTTCTGCGTCCCCCTGTGTTCGTTGAGCTTTCATTGACTTGTTCACTTACTTACTCTTACTTACTTACTTACTTACTTACTTACTTACTTACTTACGTATTTACTTGTCTGTTTTGTTCGAATCCCTTCGTTCCTTAATTCATTCTTGTTTTTTTTATTTGGATCATCTTTTGTTCCCGCTAATTTGCTTAATTTTGTAGTGGCTCTGAAGGTCTTCTGAAGCTTTGGACGATAAAAACCAATGAATGTGTCAAGACATTTGATCAACATTTAGACAAGGTAATAACTAAATAAAGACACCTCCATAAGGTGGCACTAGACTACGGGGAGTCCCTCTTTCTCTTAGTCCATCGCGCGTGACACGAAAGAAAACTGCGATAACAAACTGGCCGCGCGGTTTATTTACGGTCCCGCTCGATGGACAAAGCGAAAGAGGGACTACTCGTAAGTTGAGGTGGCACTGTCACTCATGTCGTTACCATAGCAACGATGCTCATTTTGGCTGTCGGTTGTTGATAACTTATATGGACGCCCGGTAAATATCTAAATACGGACACTACTACTTGTCCCTTTGGCTCCGTAATAGCCGGGTTCCACTGAAGCTAAAAAATTGCAGATCGGACCTTTCTTCACTTAGCTTATACACAGAGGTAACAAAACTTAACTTACCAATCAGTTAATGATATTAGAAGTGAGGCTTGCAACTTGTGATGAAAAAGTTGTGAGAGCATTTTATTCAATTTGTCTGATTAGGTGTGGAGTATAGCCATTAATAAAAGCCAAGAGCAACTTGTTTCAGGAGGAGCAGATTCAGCGATCAATATTTGGAAGGTAAGTTTAACCTCCAACAGAGAAATAGCGGTTTAATGTCTAAATTATGTTATAGGTTATGCCCTGTTTTAAACTGAATCAACAATAGAATTTATTTTTTTATCGATACATTGGCCGAATTCACTCTAAAGACGAGAAAACCGCGTAAGACTGGCTTCCCGGTGGTGACGAGTTTCACGTCCTGTATGGCAGGACGGGACGGGAAGGGATGGGAAGGGATGGGAAGGGACGGAATTTTGACGAGAGACTCTCATAAGGCAAAAGACCAAATCAATATAGAGGACGATTTTCCCGTCCTGTATAGAAGGACGGCACGTGAAGGGAACGGAAGTGACGGAAATTTGACGAGACACTCACATTAGACATAAGACCAAATTATTATCAAGGTTCAGACCGTTTGTATTACATTCTTTTTATTCTATGGCTAGCTCCGCAAGTATGCAAGAATGAACAAACCCTGCTGTTTGATTGGCTACCCAAGCGGTTAAGATAGCGCTATGTTTCACGCTCGGGATTGCTCACTGTTTCCCGCAAAGAAATGGTGTTCCATATGCCATATACTAAGTCTTTTGTTGACCAAGCTTGTTCAGTCAAGATTGCTAGATATTGGCCTCGTTATTATTGTTAGTATTATTATTTGCGTGTCTATAAATCTTGACTGCGACTCGGTCCATAACCACGCAAACTTGGTTATCTTGACCTCCCGTTTGCATCTCATGCCTTTGCCGGTATTTAATGCTTACATGCATCCCAAGCACTGCGTACATGTGTTTATTGAATTATTTATCTGTTGTTGATGATATTTTCTTGCATTTGTTAGGATGTTACTGAGATTGAACAAGAGCAGGCACAGGCTGCCATGGAAGAGAGCATTTTAAAGTGAGTTTATCANCGAGTTTTAGTATAAATCTGCTAGCGCTCTATCACGAATGCCGTTCTCTGATTGGCTACGCTACTCACTATCTATCACTATTCTGTGGTAGATAGTGAGTGGCGTAGCAGTGTGCCCTTGTTAACGAAATGACGGCCGCTTCTTGGCGTTTTCGAAGTGTCTGTGAAGAGCATTTAGATAATTAAAAGCTCTGAACGACGAGCAGATTTATACTAAAACAATTAGATCATTCGCTCTCGATTTTTATGCGTGACAGTTGACCCGAGCTGCGCCCTCGTCAACTATCACGCGATGGAAATCGAGAGCGAATAATCTAATTGTTAAATAGAAACACGAATTTTAGCCAATCCGTGCGCGTATCATCTTTGGGCTATTTTCTAATACAAATTTTCTAAGTTACTGAAAAGGGTTTCCAAAGGTTGTCTATATTATTAGGGAGTTCTTTGCAGTGTTCTTGTCGTGTATATATATTGAACTGTTAGTTTCTTGCTTTGTCTCCACGCAGACAGCAAGAATTGTCGAACTTAATAACTGACAAGAAGTACCTTGAGGCTATTGGTTTGGCAATCACGTTAGAACAGCCTTTCAGAGTGATGAACATTATAAAAGGTATTGTCAACTCTCAAATACAGGCTACTACTAGGAAGATTCTTCTCCATTGCCTGCACCTTTCTGAGCAGACACCTTTCTTTAGGGCCGACTCTCCTTGTGGTGTAAATCGCTCTAAAGTGTACACCTGTCTAACTTAAGCGATAGTGCATCCAATCAGTGCTGTCCCAAGATGTCTGTTTTAAGGAGATATTGTATTCGTTCGTTTGTTCGTGTGTTCGCTCGTTCGTTGGTTTGTTGGTTTGTTGGTCTGTTGGTCTGTAGGTCTGTTGGTCTGTTGGTTTGTTGGTTTGTTCGTTTTTTTTGGTTTTTTGTTTTTTTTTCGTTTGTTCGTTTGTTCGTTTTCTCTTTGTTCTTTTTTCGTTTGTTCGTTTTTTTTTCAGTTTGATCGTTTGCTCGTTTGTTCGTTTGTTCGTTTGTTCTTTTTTTTTTCCGTTTGATCGTTTGTTCGTTTGTTCGTTTGTTCGTTCGTTCGTTCGTTCGTTTATTCGTTCGTTCGTCCGATCATTCATTCAGTATAGTTTATTTATTTGGTTTTATGGTATAATTACAAGTCAAGTACATTTAGAAAACGTGTTTCTTGTAATTCGCTTTCTTTCTCTCGTGTAGACATCCTGTGTGTACAAAATGGCACAGAAGAATTGACAAAGGCACTGAAGTCCCTTAGAGAAGATCAACTTGGTACATAAATCACAACCCAATAATTATTTTAATACACCTTACTCTATGGTCTAGTTACTAAGTAGACCACTATGGGACGACCAATCACATTCGCAGATTTAAAATAAGGCACACTTTGTATCTACTCGAAAAAGTTATTCTTTATCAGAATATTAACCTCGCTGCTCCTTTGCCTTTTAATCGTGTAGCATTTTCTTAAAAGGACTGATCTAGATTCGTACCGTAGTAGAGAGAGGACAGTGAAACTCAAGAAAACTAGGGTGCTCACAACAACTCGTCCCATTTTGAATTCACGATCATTTAATATCCCTTATAGAGGCCACACGACCGTGGCCGAGTGGTTTAGAGCGCTGGTGTTGTAATCCGGAGGTCCCGGGTTGAAGGTCTCCACCCTGCCACTAGCGGGATTTGTTTCTCGGTAGTCCTGAGTTCAAATCCTCGGTCACGCTTTGTAAATAGCCGACTGGTCTGCCTCCTGCCAGTAGGGATTCTTAACTACGTTACGTTTATTTGAAACATTTGTTTCCTTTGTTTCAGTGGCATACCTGTAGGCTAGCGAAGCTTAGTGTTTGTATAGCTAAGTGCATGACCACTATAAATAAGATTTACATTTTAATTAAATTTACAGTATTTTTTTTTTTTTTTACCTTCCCTCTCATGCCGCCCAGTTCCAGCAATGTGGGGAAAAAATGCTTCCTCGACTTTCTTGCCGCTGCTAGCAGAAGTTTAATTACAGTATAAAGTAATCAAATTATTGACATCAACCTGATCGGTTTGTTGTTGTTATTGTGGTTGATGTTTTATAAAATAAATTAATTTCCAATTTTGTGTTGCAGACGCAATTTTGAAGTTTGTTGTCGAGTGGAATACCAACTCCAAGAACTGCCATGTTGCTCAGACAGGTTGGTTAAGTCGACTTGTATAGAAAATCACGTTGTCAACATATGGCTTTCATAAATTTTTAGCTCTTTGGAAAGAACGCATCGCTGCGTAAGTACTTATTAAGGCTGTAGAGGAGTACTTTTATGTGGTTTTGCTTATTATGCTGTACAAAGTTGTGCTAACGTTTCTGGATAAAACCCTAGTGTTTGACCATTCAAATGAAAGCTATCGAGCAGTATTGTCTGTCCATTATGCTGTTCAAGGTGGTTCTAACTTTTGAGTATGTGGCTAAAATCCTAGTGTGTGACCATTCAAATGAAAGCTATTGAGCCGTACTTTCATGTGGTACTGTTTATTATGTTGTACAAGGTGGTTCTAACTTTCAAGTCTGTGGATGAAACCCTAGTGTGTCACCATTCAAATGAAAGCTATTGAGCAGTACATCCACCATAGGTACTTAAACTATTTTATTCAAAGCGATTTACCACTAATTTGAATGCTAAATATTGGTAGTATAAGCGTGAATTACTTTACATGCTTTTCATTTTACAGTTTTGTCCATCATCTTGAAAAACAACTCTCCGTATGAACTGGCAACCAGAAAAAACATGAAGGACATATTGGAAGGTCTTCTGCCTTACAGTGGTCAGTCTGTGTTACATATGGTTTGTTTTCTTGCAAGACAGACCTTAAATAATTATGCTGTTATGATAATACCGTACCCTGACTTTCTCAACACGCTTATGGAAAGAAGACAGGCGTGATAATTCCTCTCCCTACAAACGCGACAGTCAGAAAAATGTGTGTCGTAGTGACGTCACTTGATGGGGTTTCTGGAAAATGAAAGATAAAGGTTGCTTAAATAACGGTTGTCGGTTTGTTCGTCTGTCTTTTTCTGTCTGTCTGTCTGTCTGTCTGTCTGTCTCTCGAACTTGTGCTCCTCGACCGCACGCTCTTCGCCATTGGGGGTGTCGCGGACATTTTTTTCGTTCAGAGCTGGTCAGAGCTCAGCTTCGCAGCTCGACTTTGTAAGCAGTACTATCTCTTCACCTCCTTCTAGCAACCTTGTAGACGCCAAAATTCATTTTCGTTTGTTGAAATTATCTTTTTTTTTTTTTTTTTNAGTTTCACTACATTTTTGCTCAGTCATGAAAGTGACCTACGTCTTTAAGCTTTTCGTTTTTTTAAATTTTTTTTTCGCCTTTCCTTTTTCTCCATTTCTTATCTTTTTGCTGCAGTGATTAACCTTCTAGGCAAGTTCCATAATACTGTGACATTTGGTAAAACGTTTTCAGTTGCACAAGTACAGATGTGATAGTTCCAAAGAAAAATTCAATTTTTATTGTTTGTAGTGGTCAATGCGCTTAGCTAGCTACACATAAGTAGTTCACAGGCATGGCACTTAAACCTGCAGAAACAAATTATCAACTAAAGATAACAGGCTTAAAAATCCCAATTGGTGGGAGGCAGACCAGTTGGCTATTTACAAGCATGACCGAGGAGTTGAACTAAGGTCTACCGAGAAACAACTCCCAGCTTAGAGCGGGACTTGAACCGGTGACATAACCTCCGGATTTCAAGTCCGGCGCCCTAACCACTCGGCCATGCTTCCTCCAGTAATTTGCGACTTTGGAAGACCCATTGTAGACCCCAAGAATTTTGTTGTTGTTGTTGTTGTTGTTGTTGTTGTTGTTGTTGTTGTTGTAATGTTGAACATAAGTTTGCTCTTCTTCTTTTGTACAGCAAATGGAGTTCATTGAGTATACATGGCAGTCAATGAAGCTATCCGGCCCTGTGCTTGGTGTTGCACAGTAAGTGCCTTTTTATGTTGCCACGCCTTTTGAATGAAGCTTACCCTATGAAGGTTGCCGCGCTCAGATCTTTTAAAATTTTTTTCTACGGCTTATACTTGATGTCTTACGGTTTATACTTACTTACAAAATCGGAACGATCGGTGTTCCCTTCGCAGGCGGGGGATAAAAACTTTCCTTGTAGCTTCATACGCTTCCAAAAATGAAACAATTAAGCACCAGCACCAGTGAGGCGTCAGACATCACTGGTCTCTTCATCTCATCCTTTTCTTTATTCCAGATCTGTAGGTGCAGCCACAGAGGCTGCTTCTACTAGTGATTCCGCTATGGATCGCAGGCTCACAAGATTGGGCGAGAGTTCGGATGAGTCTGGGGCGAGCGGTTCTCGTCTGGATTTGCCCTCCATCTCAGAGCTCTCACGGAGAAGTGAGAGCGTGGACAGTGAAGGTGACGAAAAAGTGGTCAGCGGAGTTGATTACGGCAATACAGAAAGTGGAGGTCTGGATGGAACGGGTGATTACGACTTTACAGAGAATGGCCACATTGATATGACAAGTGATCAGGACATTAGAGAGAAAGACAGTAGGGACGAAATGAACGACCTTGATGACTCTGTACAGAATGGTGCGCCAAATGGAGTGAATGTTGATGCAGATAATGAAGAAGGGAGAGAAACAATGGATGTTCTGAAGAAGAACAGGAAAACAAAGAAAAACCTTGAGGTAAATCTTGATTATGTTAAATACAGTCGAACCTCCACTGACCGCTGCCTCTACACAAAGGCCAGTTATTTTTGTCCTGGCTGACGGTCCATGCATTCACTCTGACTTATTTCGTCTCTACAATGGTCACCTCTCCACAACGGCAAGGGCCACTAAAACGCGTCCCAGCTGCCAAAATAATCTCTCGACAACGGCCAAGTAATCAGTGACTGACGAACAGCGTATACAAAACCTCATGTTATTGTGAAAGGTCACCAAACATGATCCATACCGCGCGTTGTTGGTCTCTGTTTCTGTTTAATTTCCGTTGTATTGATACATTTTTTATTTATACATATGCTAAAATTAGCATTTTTTGACAAGAGATGTTGCACCCCCGAAGAAGAAACACCGGTGTCATATTACAGCCCTCGGGGTCTCCCTATCACGGCCACCTCCTTGTAACGGCTACTTTCCTGTCCCCAAGGTGGCCGTTATCGAGAAGTTCCACTGCAGTTCCATTGTCCTGACATAATTATTATAGGTTCCACCAGTTGTAGCGGACGCCCAGTCATTCTATCTAATCGCACCTTTTTTGTGCGCTTAGTTAAGCCACAGTTTCGATGGTTTGTTTTGGCTGGGAAACAAAATGGAATCAAAATACCGATGGCGAGGCCAAATGAGTCTGATAAGCTGACGAAATGTGCCAGAGAGATAACAATAAGGTATTAATTGAATCCAAAATCCGACAACGTAAAGTTCACAGGAGAGTGGAAACGGCTTCTGATTGAGGCATGTTTCAGAAAGCGGTGACCATTTATCCCCGGAGGGGGGGGGGGGG